AATTAAAAAAGAAGCAGGAACACAGGCGGCAAATGAAAAAGTGTCTCATTTTTAGTGTATAAAAATCATGCAATTCTATTACTGGAAATATGTAACATTTTGTGGCTTTAAGTCTATAAAGGTGAAATAATTCACAATTTAAAATGATCCCAGACTGAATTTATTTTCTGATAGGCAAATTTTCAAAAATGCTTATGTAAATCAGCGGTTATGACTTTTTTTTCCCCCTAAAAGCTCAAAGTAAAATCTTGATTTACATCTTCAAGTGAGAGTTTAGGTACAACAGAAATGATAAAAGTCTCAGTCTGTGAGTTTGTGAAGGTCACAAACGTACAGTTATAAACTGAAGGTGCAAAAAAAAAAAAACACATTTTAGGGTCAATAAGTGCCAACAAAACATAAACTTTTCAGAATATAAAATAATTTCCAGTTTGACAGAGAATAAAAACTTAAATTTGTTTAGTATGTTCATTCAATTCAAGTTAATTAGCTTTTACTTCAGTCTTTAGTACTGAAGACATTATTTTTTCATTCAAGATTTGTTTTAAGTTTACAAAAAGGAGGGAAAATATGCCTAAACACTTCAATTATTACAAGTGTGAGTTGTAAACATCATATTTGATTCCTCCAATTGAATTTTCCTAAAAATGTTGTGTCAGAAACGAGCAGATCTTTCAAAAGGTTGACTGCGTTTCTGCAGCTTTAGCAAACACTCCCATGCAGCATCAGCGCAGCAGCTAGCAGTACTGTCCACCAACATTACCGTATTTCAAAGGGACATCTGAGACGTGCACACACACACACAAGCAGCCACACACACTCACTCTCACAGAGAAAGGGTTAAGAGAGCCCCGAGGCCAAGTGATTTACGCAAGAATGGGCTCAATAGTTCCTGTCTGCTTCTGCATCAGTGTGTGCAGATGTGCATGTTCGTGAGAGTGTGTGTGTGTGTGTGTGTGTATGTGTGTGTGTGGCTTTGGTATTTAAATTGGACAGTTCTGTACAAAACTCCAGCCTCCACATATTGAATTGCATTACAGCAATATTGTGCAGCATTATTAGCAACAAATCTCATTACTGTGTCTATTTAAAGAATATTTATAATCATTTTCCTCATTCCAGTGGATCAATAGCACATATTTTTATGCTATTTTTCCATATTATCAACAAAAGTTTGTTTCTTTTTTAAGTCAAAAGTGTACATGAGTAACACCTGAAGGCTGCACTGTCTGACCTGAGCGTAAACCGAGAGCGAAGTGAGAGTTCATCCGCTTCATTTTTATGAAAATCTAAACGAAGCAGGCAATCAGACGGCCACGCATCCGGTGCGTGTTTTGCTCTGGGACTGAAAAAGGAGCCTGAATGCCATCTAGCGGCCGCAGAGGGAGCTGCGGCGATAGAGGCCATCTAGTGGAGTAAAATTCATGTCAACAGCACCCCCTGCAGGAGGAAGCGGAAACTACACGCGTGGTTTTGGCTTCTGCATCAGCTGAAAGCTTACTTTACTTTAACCAGGAATGCAACACTGAGCTACAGTTTCTGTTGCACCATAAAGCCCTGGTTAAGATTAGAAATGATAAAAACACAAACTTACTACAGGTTTTAAAAAAAATAGAAGAGAAAGACGATATTTGATGATTACAAGAGTAAATAACTTCAAATTGTGTTGCATCTGCTCTGGTTTTGGATCATTTTATTTCCTTTTATGTTTCTGTGCAGTGATTCATACATAATAAGTAAAATATTTGGGGGTTTTATATGGTGAAATGATTTATGAAGGGGTAAATTAGTCTAATTTAAAGAGGTGGATAGGAATAAATATAAACCTTGTGCTTCTGCCTGCACATTTTCAGTCAAGTTGTTTAGATTGTTGCAGTGTTTTTAGTTATTTGATGACTGACTCACTGGATAAATGAGTAAGATCAATAAATGAAAAAAGATTAGCAACATTCTGTCATTTTAAGTCATTTATTTGGTCATTTCTGGTGACTGAGGAAGTAAATAAAGATAAAGGTAAACAAAATAAGCAATCATTTATTTATTGCATTTCTGAAATTCATGTTTGCATTTCAGAAATCTAAACATGAATATCCCAGACATGCATGCAAACTAAATTTAAGAACAGTGAAGTCTGGTTTTTGCGGTTTTGGTGACTTTTTCTGCAGAAGAATTTTCTTGCAGACTAAAACTGACTTAACTTTAACATTTTAAGTTAATCTGATAACTCTTCTGCAGGTAAATGCTTCTTCTGCATTGACCTGCAGTAAAATCCTGTTGGTCATACTTAAGATTACTTGATATTTATTGCTATAAGACGAACTTTATCCTTATTGGTTTGTGAAATCTGCCCTGGTCTGCAACATACAATGTGAGATTTTCCCCTTCCTGCTCCTAAATGAACTTATACCTCCCAATAAAACAATCAGATCCCATTATCTGCCATCCTCTAACAAATGAGCAGGAAGGGAAACTTGCTGGCAGAGTGCTGAGGTCCCAGCGGCCATCAGCATTCAGCTGGTGAAGGGAAAACAGGGACGCTGCAGAGGCCTTCACTGCTGAGCCGGAGACCATGGAGACTGACATGTCATCCTCACACACACACACACACACACACACACACACACACACACACACACAGAGTTTAAAAGTGGGAGTCTGTGAGGATGTGCATTGACTCAAGGTGTCTGTCAGAGTGTGTGTGGAGCCGTGGATCTCCTAATTTAGCCTCTAGAGAGCTGAGACGTCGGGGTGTCAATCTCTCTGCGCCGCTTTTTTCCCCACTTAACTTTTTAACCGAGTTTCCTTCTCTTTGCAATCCTCCGTATTTATAGCTGCCGAGCCTGGAGCAGACACGTATGTTTGCAGGGGTGTGTGTGTGTGGTATTTACCAACATTAAACTCTTTGTCTCGTGTGTGTGTGTGTGTGTGTGTGTGTGTGTGTGTGTGTGTGCGTGTGTGAGAGAGAGAGAGCTGCACAGCTGTTGATATTGTGAGGGTTAGGGGTTTGGTATTTCAGTCAATTTCCACCGAGACGAAGATGAAGCACGGCGAGGGAGGGAGACAGAGGAAGTGTGGAAATCGCTGGAGGAAAAAGAGAGAGCAGAGGAAGAAAGAAAGACGAGGAGGTGAAAGCGATGAGGAGGGAGGGACGGGGATGAAGGAGGGGCGGATGAGGCAGGATTCTGGCCGGGTGAGCAGCTCTGAGACTAATTAAGGTGAGGGCAGTGGCAGAGAGGAGGTAATGATGAAGAAAAGGATTTACTCCCCACTCTCTTCCTCCAAGACACGCAGCGCTGCGTCTCCAAACCAGCCGAATTAATTCTGCCACAGAACATAACGCAGCTTTAATTTCTACTGCAGGAGAAGTCGACTCAAAGCGACGACGTTTCGGTTTGACTTTCTGACCTGAAGGTCAGCGACTTCAGAAGGAAAACAAATCAGATTCTCTGTATTTTCTTCCCTCAGAGCAGAGGTCACAAGTCCAAACAGCTAACTTTGACCCGACTCCTACAAAATAACATTTTACAGCTGCACAAACCTTTACAGATACCTCTTTTTAAAATACGTTATATATGGAATCTGTGTGTTTAAATTTATAAAACAACAAAGGAGAAAGTAAATGACAAACTTCTCACTGCAAAAACACAAAATCCTTCCAAGTATCTTTGGTCTAGTTTCTAGTCCAGATATCTTAGTAAACATGAAATAAAACTAACTTCAAAGTAACTTTTCAGCCAGATAAAGGCGATTGTTTAAGTGAATAATTCCTTAATATTCATTTTCTTTAAGTTATTTTACTTGTTATATTTGCACTAGAAACTAAACCAAAAATACTTGGTAAGATTTTGTGTTTTTGCAGGACTGTTGGTGAATATATCCAGATGTTGCATGAAAACTTACTATTTCTTAAGTACTTTGAAGTTTAAATACATTTTTATTTATTTTTGCCAAACCTATTAAGATGCATCAAACGTGTGGCTCAGGAAACTCGGAGGGAAAAACTATTAAAATGTTTCAGTTTCGTCCCAAAACAACCAAAAGCATCCATGGATTTGACCAGAAAGCCGAGAAGCTAAATGTGACTTATTTGGTGCTTTTAATGACATTCAGAGAAGCTTTCAAATGAAACCAGTCATTCTAACTCATGCACACATTCACACGCTAAGTGGGAAGTGAAAGAAAGATGATACAAATAAAAAATTAGACAGAATGTGAAAAAACTGCAGCTGCTGTCAGGTAAAAGCGTTTTTCTTGCCGACACATTTGTTCTTATTTAGCCACCTGGGCAGCTACAAGCAGGTAAACATGACTTTAACGTCCTCCCTGCAAAAACACCAAATCTTACCAAGTAGTTCTGGTCTAATTTCTAGTGCAAATATCTTAGAATAAAACTAAATTAAATTAAAAGTAACTTTTCTAGAATATATAGGAGCTTGTTTTAAGTCTATAATTCTTGAATATTGGTGAAAAAGTTCTAGTCAGTCTGGTGGGATGTGAAATAAACACCTGTTGAATCTTCATTATCACCATTTTAATGACATAAATGATGCACTGCAAAAACAAAATCTTACCAAGTAGTTCTGGTTTAGCTTCTCGTTTCGTCTTATTTAAAATAAAATAGGAGCTTGTTTTAAGTCAATAATTCATGAATCTTGATTACATTAGTAGATTATTTCACTTGTAACATGGAGAAAATGTCTTGTTATAAGTGGAACTAGAACTTTTTCATCAATATTAAGGAAATATTTACTTAAAACAAGCTCTTATTTCTCACTGAAAAGCTACTTTTAAGTTAGTTTCATCTTACTTCAAGTGTCTTAAGATGTTTTCACTAAAAACTAGGCAAAAATAGTAGGTAGGATTTTGTGTTTTTGCAGTGCGGACTCCTTCTCTGTTTAGAATAACATTAATTCATCCATTGCTCTTATATTTGACTTCATGAGTCTAGTAAATGATTCTGTCTAATCTAAACTGTGGGATTTCAAAATGTGTCGCTGTACCTCAAAGTTGGTCATCGCTGTTGATTTGTTGTTAAAAAACCTTTGTGACTGACAGAAGACTTGATCTTTCTCGTCTTTGCAGCGTTTTGCGACCTGAAGGAGGGAAAAAAGCAGCAAAGTTGTAAACTCTGTTTCTGTTCTGCAGCTCTGGATCGTTTGGTTTCTTCTTTTCATCCACTGGACGTTTGCTTTTAACGTCTGAATGTGGTTTTAAACTCACTTTGAGTCTTTTTTGTGATTTTAAAACATAAATATCACACAATTAAAACATGTTTTTTTTTTATATACAAGTACAATTTCAAAATAATTTCCTCCGTACTCAATTTAAAGGAATCGTTAATTAATGAAAGTATTACATTTTATTTTGATTAATATGCAACATTTACACATTTTATTTTGATTTACCGTGTTTTTCTATTCTGTGTTGATTTATTTTATTTCATGTTCCTTTTTACCATGCATGACATTCATTTATTTCAATTTGTCTCATTTTATTACAATTTAAATGTTTTTTTCTTGCTTTTTCCCCCCCCGATTATAAACAGATTTATTTATTTCACTTTATTTAATTTTAATTTATTATGTTTTCATTGTCTTCTTTCCTTGCAAAAACATACATTTACTTATTTGTGAATTTTTATTTCACTTTATTTTCTTTTAATGTAAATGTATTATTGTTCTTATACTGCCGTTTTTCACACATAAACATGTATTTTTATTTATTTATTTTATTTTATTTTACATGTATTGTGGACTTTAAGGGTTCTTTTTTCACTTATTCTATGAATAAATATAAGTTTATCCATCTGTTTATTTATTGAATTTTCTTTTACATTTACTGTATTGTGAGTTTAAGTTTTTTTTTTTTCATTTATTGACTTTCCTCCATGCATAAATATTGATTTATCTACTTATTTATTTTTAGGTACTGAATCAACGACTAATTAATTCAATACTTAAAACTCTTTATCTCATTAGTTTAGGTCTGTGGGATTAATCTGGCTATGTAACGTTTTCTGCAGAGCATCACTAATGTGACATTCTGACTCCTTCGCCTCCTTCCTCCCGTTCTTTGGGGCGTCTTTTCTTCCCCTCCGTTCTTCGGGGCGTCTTTTCTTCCCCTCCGTTCTTCGGGGCGTCTTTTCTTCCCCTCCGTTCTTCGGGGCGTCTTTTCTTCCCCTCCGTTCTTCGGGGCGTCTTTTCTTTCGTGGGCCAATATGGAAGCTGCTGCAGCTCCACATGAGGCCTCCTGTTCCGTCCCGTTCCCGTCTCCCAACGGCAAAACATCTCTTTCTAAACGTTCGCTTCCGCCCACACGCATCCAGCATCTGCCACTCGCTGTGTTTTGGTGTCTTGTAGGAAATTAGCATACAGTTTGCAGAACCAGAGTCACTTCCTCTCTTGTTGCCTGCACCTGTCACTGCCTGACTAGAACTGTGAGGCTTCGGTGTCTCCTCAAACACAACCAAACGTCTCTCGTCACACACACACTTTGAGTGGTTTAATTTTGTTGGCAGAGGCTTGGATCCACACCTGAACAATCAAAAGAAGGCGACGCAGCAAAATTAAACTGTAAACTTAAAATACTTCAGACTTTCTGTTGAGAAAATGAAAGCTTTAAAGAGATCAGATCGGGATCACAGCAGAGACGTTGTTTGTGTTGGTCCTTGTTTTCTTTCAGTTTAGATTTTTCTCTCATGTTATGATGTATTTGTAATAAATCCTGGCTGTCAGGATTCACCTGAATTGGAGGATCTGGATGGATTAGCAATACAAAAAAAAATTTCTGCATCAACAAAAAGACAACCTTCATAAATTTCCTCCATTTAGCACGTAACCAGTTCACGAGGCGGCATCCTGGAATTACATGACTGGATCATGTAAAAAAATAAAAATCACCAATACAAAGTCTATTTTTTTACTTTTTGCATTAATTTATTTTAGATGTTTTACAAGGATTATAAACTGCGTTCACGGCTATTTTTGAAAGGCAGGAGTAATTCTGCTGCTGCTGTCTTTAAAAATCCTGAATTTAAGAATCACCTGTGCTGCTACTCACACAGCCGTCTGACAGCAGGAAGTTTCGTAGCTCCAGCCAGGAGACAACGGATCAAACAAAGTAAACAAAAATACTAAAAATTGGTTCAAAATTAGAGAAATTTTCAACATATTTCAAGACTTTTCTGTCTCAGTTGAAGAAAAACATCCTCACAGCATAATGCTGCCACTATCATACTTTTGTGTTAGAAATGATGCGCTCGTTTCATTTTGGTTTGACCAAACGTAACCTTCAAATGTTTACTGCATCACCTACATGGCTTATAAATGTTAAACTTCTCCAAATTCCAAAAACATTGGAAAACAATCGTCCTAACTACATCAAATGTTGTTGAAGTGAGCATCTACGTGTCTACTAGTGGAGGTCAGGAACATGGCTGTTCTGTCATTTATCAGAGAGACCGCATCCTGCATTGTCTTGATAATAAGAGAATGTGGATAATTTTCAGCATGCCACAAACTGAAAATATACGACTTTAACTGTTTATTTGATTCTGTTAAATTACGATTTATCTGTTGACTTAAGTTTGCTTCACTTTGACATGCAGATGTAGGGAAATCATTTAAGAGATAATAATGAATATACGCTCAGCCGGTATAGTTTGGGGGTTATTCTAAACCCTGACGGGTTTTATCCACAATCATGAAATGTAGAGAAGCATCTCAATCAATTTCTCTTTATTTGCTGCAAATTTTGACTGTCGTATTTTCCGCAGAATAGAGCGAACTTGATTATAAGGGGAACTGTTAATACATGGCATATTTACGCTCCTTTTTCATATAAAGCCACCGAAGTATTTGACGCTTTCCAACTACGTCACTTAATCATTCAGGCGCCTTGATGGACGTCGGAAATGAAGGACGGGAGTGTTGAACACAGAAACTGGTTTTCCAAAGTTGTTTTTTCCAGTTTATTCATGGTTTCTTCTTGTTTAAATCTTACTAATTTGTCTGTGAACGTAACACGTCTGGCTGGGGCTCATAGACGTTGATATTTATAAAAGCTGGAAACAGCTAGCTTAGAAACCGACCCATATCTCCTCCCTCCTGACATGTTGATCAAATTACCGACTCTCCCTGAATTCACACCACATGATTTATGTCACTATGTCATACACAGCGTTTCCCCTTAAACCAGAGCAGCATTAAAAACGTAAAAAAAGACGAGATGCTAACCAGTTTTTTCCATACATGCTAGGCTACATGACGGTGGAGCATTGACTCCATGGTTCCCGACGGTTTGACCTTCTCCACAATGTGATATTTTATATATTTTTAATTATACTTACTTCTAAAGTAAGTATAATTACTTTATTCTTCTTACCTTATAAAAACTGTTCACTGCAAATCCGCGGTTACACCGAGGGCTGACGGTCATTGTGATTAACGGCTGCTATCCATCGCCGCCACATCTTTCCTCTTTAAAGGTTATAAAATAAAATGACGAGTTTGGTTTCTATCCTTGTCTTTTTCTGTAGCCGACCGCGCAGCATCCTGTGACCATCTTTAAAGTGAAATCAACTAAATAAAAGCGATATTAGATGACAGATGACTAGTTTAAAAGAAGCACTTTGGTTATTTTGCCGTCCGTCATGGCGGAGTGGGCGGAGTTATGAAGCCCGTGACGTCACGTGAAACAAATTGGTCAGGAAAGTCGGTCGGTCAAAGCACAGCGTGTATTACTCCGCTACGCTCCTGACTACTGTAACTTAATGTAACTAAAACATTTTGACAAATCGTCGTGAGCGCTGTGTACCACAGAAAATCACTTTGAAGTCAGTAAGCAAGACCAGAATTAATCCATATGAATCCACTAGAGGGCGCTGTCTTACTCCAGAACAATATAGAAGTCGCTCTGTCATTTTTTTAAATATAAAATTAAAGGCTTTTAAGTGCAAGTGCGCTTTATAGTTTGGAAAATATGCTAATGTTAATTTTTATTAAAGCTGAGGTGTGTAACTTTATAAAAATATGTATTTTGCATATTTTCAAAACTGTCACTCATAAGAGACAGATAATATGTGAAAAAAAAAAAATCTGCTTTCTCCCAGTGGTCCTACTGCCATCTGCAGAAACAACCAATTACAGATAGGAGGCGTATCTTAGAGCTGTCAATCATGCTTGTATTCCTGTAACATAACATAATGTATTTAATAAGATTTATATTCATCTTTATATTTATATGTAATCATAGTTACATTTATTTGCAACTTCTCACAAAGTTGGGGCTGGATTCTCAGGTTGTAACAATAATTATTTAATGGATTCTAACAGACTGACTCTTAATTTTATTTTACTTATAATTTTGATTATTTCATCAGATTTAAATATAAATTTTTCATTCATTTGTTACTTTTAATGTATTTAACTTTTATTCTATTTATCATTTCAAAATTCTCTTTAATTTCTTTGATACGTTTGACAACATTTAAAGACAAAAACAAGCAAACCTTTTTTTTTTTTATCCAAAGATGTCTTTCTAACTTTCCGTCATGATCCCAGAGTTTGTTTTCTAACATAAAATCAGAAAATCTTAGATGCTAAATGCTAAATTACATTTCTGAGGTGTCAGAGGAGATCTATTAGAGCACCAAAATGTTTCAGTCTAGTATATTTACAGAGAAAATCTTAAACTGGACAGAATCGTGTCTTTTTCCCTCACAGAAAGCACAGCCTCTGGCTACCGAACTCCATATGTTTGCACATATTTGCACATGTTCTGCTCCTTCATCTCCATGTCAGCTAGCATACGGCCACCTGAACACGCTGCCTCTCTGTCGCTCGCTTATCAGAGTTCAGAGCCAGGTGTGCCTGAAGCAGCAAGCTGAGTCTTTGAGCTCACAGGGTGGTACCGCTGGTTCCCACGTATGAAAAAAACGCAGCTCAGCGTTGTCCAAAAAGTCACTATATGTGTCACAGGGGGAATTTTTTTTTTTTTTTTTTTGAAGAAGAAGGGTCTGAAAAAGTTGGTAAATCTGGTGAGGAAGCGTGGAAGTTGGCAGCAATGCTTGGGGCATGGCTCAGGGCAAAGTCTGTATAGTTATGACATCACAACCTTATGGCGGTCCTGATGATCCGTTTACAGACTCCAGGCTTCAATGCATGCTACGTACGCATCTCAGCGGAGAGAATGTCTTCAGCGTTTTATAGTAAACACCTTGTAAAGCATCCGGCAATCAGAAGAGGAAAACTAAAAGATCTGCAAATTATTGCACAGATTCTGTTTGTCCTCAGTTTTCAAACAATTATTTTATTTAATAAGGATAACAGCTTTTGAATTTTTGGGCTGGCAGAGTACCCAAAAATTTTACTCAAGTAAGTGTAGCACTATTTCAACATATTTTTACTCAGGTAAAAGTAAAAAGTTGCAGTCCAAGAAATTACTCAAGTGACAGTAAAAGATTGTTTGGTAAAATGTTCACTCCAGTACTGACTAACTCATGAATTTATCAATCATTTCATAAAGTCATAAAATAGAAAGTTAAGTGGTAATTTTGGTATTTTAAGGACCACAATGACAATTATTCATATAAATATCAAAAAACAAAGTCAGACAAAAGAAAATATTTCCAAATCAGTTTCTTTCAACAACAAAACCTGCTGGCCACGCCCCTAACTCGACGTTTACACTCCCACTTGAAAATGGCTGAAAACAGATTCACAATTATATAACCGTACACCTTTGAAAAGCAGAAGTGAAGCCTCCTGCACAACCAACAAGAACGCAGCAAGTGGTTTCTGGATGGTAAGTCAGCAACAAAACATTTGTCTTTTCCAGCAGCCATTGTACAGCTCAGCTTGTGTTGCTAGGTAACGGGCAGAGCCTGATGATTTATGATGTTACATTCCAGAGGTTTTTGAAACGGGTCACATTCTTGACACCAAATTATTGCCAAAATTAGTTTTAGCTTTTTCCTTTAAGTACTTGGGCTGTTTGTAGAAGCAGTAGGAACTCAAATGGAAGTATAAAAGTGTGCAAATTGTGAATTTTGCAGAACTTGTACTCTTTAAAGACAACTAGGCTGATCTGTAAAACAGGGGAAAGTGACTCCAGGGCGTCACTGGGAGATTCACGTTGCCCTGAAATGATGAAAACCAGGAAAAGTGGTGAACCTTCCAGGACTGGCTGTCCACACTGCAAAAACACAAAATCTTACCAAGTATTTTTGGTCCAGTTTATACTGCAAATATGTTAGCACACTTGAAATAAGACAAAAATAACTTCAAAGTAACTTTTCAGCCAGGTATGGGCGTTTGTTTCAAGTTATTAATTCACTAAACCAACAATTAAATAAAAGTTTGAGTTGACTCCAGAGATTAAGAGTAAAAGACTGTCATAAAAATATAGATGCTTGTGAGCCTTAACACAGACTTCCTCAAATTATCTACTGTATCGATGCTACTTCTTTCTAACTATTCATCCTGTAGACACCAGCTGGACGTCCTGCAGATTCTTCACTCTCATAAATATTTGCTTTTGGTGTCAGACAATGACCAGGAAGCAAGTTCTTAGATGTTGTTGGGATATTCTGACAGTTTGAGGATTGTTATAGCGTTTAAAACCAAGCTCCACTACATTTCCAAAACCACTGAGATGAATGAGATGTTCAGTAATGTCTCATTCATAATATGCTTTAATACTAAGTTGACCAACGTTGAAGCTGTAGAAGACACTTGTCTTATGTCTACAAACTTGTTCCCACAAATCTGGGAGGATGCAAAGCCAATCATGAGAAAAAAAAAACCCCAAGCTCTAAGCTTTTCCAGTTCAAACAAAGTATAGAATACCTCTGTTTGAGTTATTTATATGTCTAATTTGTATTATATGTGTAGTCGTGCTGGACTGTTCCCTTGCAGCAAGAAGGTTCTGGCTCTGTTTTCTGATAGGATGAGGTGGGGATTTTTTTTAGTGTATTTCGCAAAACTGCAATGGAAACACTTTTTTCGCATCAAACAAGTCACGTGATCAACATCCGGAAGTTGCTACTGGCAGAAAATACGAAAAAGACAACAGGAAGAAGTAGGAGGATGTTTTTTTTAATGACTTATCGTGGTGAAAAAGCTGATTCACGTGTCATTTTAATTGTATTTCTTATTTAATGGAGTAACCGTAAATATGAAATTGTATTTTTTGACAAAGTTTTGAGGAAATGCAGCTAGCTGGTGTGAATGCATCTGTTCCAGGTTTATTTTACTACCTGACTACTGTATGTAAGGTCCCAATGTAGCAGAAAGGACATTTCATGAATGAACCTTTTGCACATATACCGTCTTATCGCGGTACCAGGACGTCTTGGGTTCAGAATGGATCAACAGCAACCTTCAGATGTCAGTGCGTAAAAGCTGAGCAGGTTTCTCATTGGATAAGGTCATGGGACATATTTAAGTCCTGCAAGGGACTGCGCTGCGGCGGCAGAGGGGCGAGTCTCCTGCAGAGCCGAGCGCAGGATGCGAGCAAGAAGAAGAGACCGCAGCTCAGCATGAGGCAGGGAGAGGAGGGAGCGCTGGATGGAAGGTGTGTGAGCAACAGAAAAGCCTGGATAGCAGTGTGTCAAGAGTGCTGTCAGTCACTCATCCATCCAGCTGGCTAATTGGCTCCTTACCCTCTCTCTCCTTCATTCCCTCTCCCTCTATCCCTCTCTCTCTTGCCCTCTCTCTCTCCCTCTATCAGGCGTTGCTCCTAACTGCGCGCCGGAGGCCAAAATGCAGATGAGCTCTGCCTCGCGTCAGGGGGAGCTTCTGCTCTGCTTAATTATCTGTGTGTGTGTGTGTGTGTGTGTGTGTGTGTGTGTGTGTGTTAGCCTATGAGCTTACCGGCCCACACACACACACAACGTTCGAGTTGCTGCTATGCTAAACAGCAAGGCATCCTGGGAATTGCAGTGACAGCTCATTTTGGGGTTTTTTCATAGTCTCTGTATGAAGGCTGCTGAGAGACAACCCTCCCCTCCTCATCTTCCTCCCAAATTTCCCATTCCCCTCACAACACACACACTCTGACATGTACACACACTCACTCACACACCTCTCTCTTTCCCCCGGTGCTCATGGGAACGGGTCCGGGGCCTGTCACTAACCCTCCCCCTCTCCTTTATCCCCACCACCTCACCTCCTTCCCCTCATCGCCGCGGTGACAGGGCTTGTTGACAAACGCCAGCAGTCATCAGGGCACCATGGGAAATCTTCTGCCACCATTTTGTCAGCAGTATGACAGAAGTTGTTAATGTCTTGCCTCTCGCCCTGACACGAGACGCCGGGGCTGACAGACTGCTGCACACACACACACACACACACACACACACACACACACACACACACACACATATATACAACATGTTCATACACAAACAGGAAATGTCATTTTCACAATGTAGACACAAACACAGATGCTCATGCACACACACAACATTCATGTCCACATTTTGTGTCCCTCTATCCTTGACTCACACACTCACACACACACACACACACACACACACACCATCTCTCACTCACCTAAATCAGTGAGTGTGTGTGTGTGTGTGTGTGTGTGTGTGTGTATGTGTGTGCTGGCTGACAACTGGATATGTGTGGATGTTTAGTGTGTGTGACTCAGGAGTGTT